ACCAAGTGTTGCAATGGAGCATGCAAGGCATGCTGCCTTCCAGCAGACTGCAACGCTGGACAAGTCTGCTGTGACGGAACCTGCAAGCCCGGGGACTGCTGCGGTGGCCCCACCTGCTGCAATGGCAAGATCTGTCCCTCGGGGACAAAATGCTGTGAAGGAGTGTGCAAGGCATGTTGCGCTGCAACAGACTGCGGGTCCGGACAAATCTGTTGCGACGGAACTTGCAAGCCCGGGGAGTGCTGCGGGGGCGATAACTGTTGCAATGGCAAGACCTGTCCGCCCGGTACCAAGTGCTGCAATGGAGCATGCAAGGCATGCTGTGCTCCAACAGACTGTCAGTCTGGTGAAATCTGCTGCGAAGGGACGTGCAAGCCTGGTGAGTGCTGTGGTGGCGATAACTGCTGCAATGGAAAGCTCTGTCCGAGTGGGACCAAGTGTTGCAATGGAGCATGCAAGGCATGCTGTGGTCCAGAGGATTGCCCGAGTGGTTTAGTGTGTTGCGATGGAGTGTGCAAGCCTGGGCAGTGTTGCGGCGGTGATAACTGCTGCAATGGCAAAATCTGTCCCTCTGGAATGAAGTGTTGCGACGGACAATGCAAGCGATGCTGCGGCACTCCAGGTGAATGTGGAGAGGGCCAAGTCTGCTGCAATGGAGCCTGCGTGACTGGTGGCTGTTGCACGTGTCCCATGGGTGCTTGTTGCGGAGGATCGTGCAAAGCCTGCTGCACAGATGCTCATTGCCCAGTAGGCAAGAAGTGCTGCGATGGAGAGTGCAAGAAATGCTGCACTGATGGGTGCTGCCCTGCTGGGAACAGGTGCTGTAACGGAGAATGTCGGCCAGTATGCTGCGTCTATGGAGTCGGGTGCTGATTTTTCCTGGAGCTTCTTACATACACACGGACGATGACTGGGCCTTGACATGCAAGGGTGACGTGGCCGGAACATGTCGAGGGAGTTTTGCCTATGGGGTGCTATCTTTGTTCCTACTGAACTCGGATATTATTTTGTGCCGATTTTCCATGTCACTCTCTTTCTCTCTACTTGTGTGTATTTACCCACAATCTTTTTCTTTCTTCTCTCTCACATGCCTCCTCTCTCTCTCTCTCTCTCTCTCTCTCTCTCTCTCTCTCTCTCTCTCTCTCTCTCACACACACACAC